ATTTACACATATAAATATATACGCACACACACTCACACACACACATACACATTTACACATATAAATATATACGCACACACACTCACACACACACACACACACACACACACACACTCAAATAGATACATAGACATACAGGTATACACACACACCTGAGGAAGGTTCTGTCCAATGCAGATTCGACACAGACGGTGGATTGTGTGCATCATCAAGTCTCGGGTTCTAATCCTGCAGATCTGTCGACATGTGATCCAGGTCCAGATCTAAAAAAGGACCAGGTCTAAAAAAGGACCAGGTCTAAAACAGGACCAGGTCTAAAACAGAGCCAGATATAAAATGGTATAAAGTCTGGTCTCATAACCAGAACCAAATCTGACTCCATCTGACACAGAGTGTGTTAAGTTTCATACTTCAGACTGCAACACTGCAGTCTGTGTGTGTGTGTGTGTGTGAGAACCAACAGGCAGAAGAATAGCAGGAAACACACACACACAAACAGACTCACAAAAACACTGGATGGATCCCTGCGATAAGACACACACTTCCTGAACACAAGCACATGCACACACACACCCGTGTGAATGCTCCACACACAGTACTGGATCTGGTCCTGCTCGCCCTCATAGCCACAGAGAGAGAGTCCATCTTGAATCAGAGAATTAACAGATATGTTTCCGTGGAAACCAATATTCTGTTTTTAACAATATGTAAAGAGTATGTTCTAATTAGTTTGATCTGAATAAGATTATACTCAATAATAAGAATCTGTTCTTGGGCTCATCATGTCTTTAATCTCATTATAATATGTGATCATCTCGTAATCATGTGACATCATAACCTCAGATCTATTTAAATTTCTGATAATTGCTGATGAGTCATCTGTGTGCACCAAAGTTAATCATGGTGTTCCTCAGGCTTCTGTGCTCAGCACAATTTAATTCAGTCAATATAAGCTTCCACTAGGAAACATTATCAGGCCACCCTATAAACTTGACCTGCTATGTGGACTACCCCCAGTTTAACTTGTCAATATAACCAGAACAATGTCATCTGGGATCTCGGAGTTACCTTTGATCCTGATTTGTCCTTTGATTCTTATTTAACAGGATTAGTAAACAGAATCACACCTGAACCATCTGCATAAAATCCATCAAAGCTCACATCTGTTCAAATCCTGATCTAAGACCAGTTCAAGTCCTGAGTCTGGTTCCTGTAGATGTTTGTGCCATGTGACCACGGGGGGGCTGACTCACCATCAGTCGCTGGGTGCTGCTGCTGTTTGTGAGGAGCTGTTTGTTGTAGAGTGTGGAGACGTTAGTTCGACCAGAGCAGGAGTTGGAGGTGTTGAGACTGAGGGGGGGGCTGCAGGTCCAGCTTTGTTCAGTCAGGTATGTAAGTCCAGGGGTGGATGTGCTGCTGGTTGTGGTGGCAGTTGTGATGTGGTTCAGGTCGTTATCTGAGGTAGAGTCTGGAGTCCTGCTGAGGTCAAGGAGATAACCGACATCACCTGCTGAATCATCCCAAGACCACGCTGTGTTCTTCCAGAACATCCTGACTGTCCTCAGACCAGCCTAGATCCTACACGACCAGACCCAGCCAGACCCTACTGGACCCAATTAGACCAAGACCAACTGGACTAAACCAGACCAGAGCACAGCAGGACCTACTAGACCAGACAAAGACACTGATGCTTTGTCTTAGAAAATGTCTGTATTGTTTGCAGAAAGATGATGGAGACGAGTTCATTCAAAATTGGAACCTGTGAACCATCAGGACTCAGACGTTTAATGATGTGATATGATGTCAACAGATTTTACTCTGTAGGACAAACTAGATTAAATTAGATCTAAAACCCTCATCAGGTCCGCAACCTGGTCTGTGGTTCTGTTTGTTCTTGTGGCTCCTGTTGCGCTGGGTTCTCCTGGTGCGTGATCCGTGGTGCTTCTGGTCTGTGGTCTTGGTCTGTGGTCCTTGTCCGTGGTTCTCCTGGTCTGTAGTTCTGTTTGTTCTTGTTCTACGAGCTGCTGCTAAGATGTCTTGTGTCTGCTCTCTCCTGTCTCTCTCTGTGTTAGATCAGTCTGGGTGAACGAGTATCAAACCTCAGTGTAATGTCAGAGGGGGTTGGGGTGGATGGGGGTAAATGGAGTCAGGGATGGGGGGGTTAAGGTATTGTGAGGGTCACATGGTTACCAGGCAGCTTCTCATCACCATGGTAACTGTTTGGACTCCTGGGGAGAGAGAGTGAGAGAGCAGGAGTCAGTTTTAATATATATCCACTGCTCGCTCGCCCCCTCTCTCCCCCATCACTATAAATAGACAAAACATATAGCTTCACATACGAGTGTGTGTGTGTGTGTGTGTGTGTGTGTGTGTGTGTGTGTCCTGAGGTTTTCTGTTAGAGCTAGTCAAGCAATGTTAGCATGTTAGCGTGTGTATTGATGTTTATATGGAAATATAAATATTTATTATCAATAAAAAGGAGTTCAGTTCTAAATCAATAATCAAACATTTGCTGCTTCTTCTTTATTTGTTCCATTTTGTTACTTTGATGATTATAACTACACCAAAGAATCAATCGATTGATAATAATCATCAGATCAATCAATAATGAAACATTGGTAGACATGTAATGATGTCATTATGTCATGTCATTAATCAATATGATCATGTGAACATTATGATGTTTGTGATCTTTTAGCTCCGTGTTTGATCTCCAGCTGCTCCTCAGGAAACATGTGGATCCACATGTTTATCACCTGTAAACACAACAGCTGTTTACAGCTGTTCAACTCAGCAGAGCATCCTCCTCTGGCCCAGGATTCTGTTGATTGATTGGTTAAACCAAGAACCAATCCCAAAGCTCATACAGCCAATCAGCTGACCCTGAGGGGAGAGACAGGTGAGACAAAGGTGAGAGATTGGTGAAAATGATAGTGATGATGATGGTGAGAAGATGATGAAGATGATGATGATGATGAGGATAATGAAGAGGATGTTGGTGATGATGATGATGATGATGTAGATGATGACGAGGATAATGAAGATGATGGTGATGATGTTGATGATGATGTTGATGATGTTGATGATGAAGATGATGAAGATGATGGTGATGATGTTGATGATGATGGTGAT